AGATATTACTAGCAGGCCCTGGCACATGGGCGAGTGAAAAAACCAATGTGGCAATAAGTTGTAGCCTTCATTGGAAGCCCTTTCTGATATCAGAAATAATTAGCTTCATAACCATAAACACACACACAAGCAGAAGTATCCTAGTGACAATGCCTTTTGTCCCTCACCAGACTCAGCGTCTGTAATGGCTGAGTGGGTGAGCACCCAGGAATGAGGCGTCTCTGTGCCTCCTGGGTCAATAAGCAATGGCTGAGTGGGAGAATAACCACGTACCCACTGGCCTTGAAGCCGTTTTCCCAGAGGTGGCATCTCATGAACTAGAAGAAGTTCACTTCTCCAAAAATTAAACTGTACCAGCCTGAGTCTTTGAATAACCTTCCTTGGAACTAGCACTTCACCATTGGTTCTGATAAAAAACCTGAGAGTCGGTTGTCCAGACTGAGTTCCTGGCAGATGTTCTTGGGAACCAAGACTAGAAACTAGAGAAGGCTTTCTCCACCTCTGACCTGACGGAGGGATCTCAGGGTAGCTGAGCCCTTTTACACAAAGTTCTGCTTGGTTTGCCAGTGCAAATTCACCAATAGACACAACGCTTTGATCCCAGAGTTTCTCAGTTTTGTCCTGGCTCAAAACCTGATGCACGTTAGGTGCAGAACTCAGCTCCGCATGTCCCATACACGGGATAGCTTCTTCCCTGAACTCAACCGCTTGTCGGTGAGACTCTAGATGCGCTCCATGAGGAACAGAGTCAGGGATAGGAGATGCCTTTCCTTGCACTGTCAGGAAGTCTTCCAGACAACCATGAAAACCTGATGTGCTGCTTGTACCGTTTGCTTGACAAACTCCCTTTCTACCTGGGGGTTCAAATCTTGTCCCTTTGCACCAGAATGTAATCTGCAGGGACTCTGGGTGAGAGAAATACTAACTGTATCAGAGCAGGGAATATCCAAGGCGGCGTTCCCTGCCGTGGCTGGTTGCAGTGAATCTACTGACTGGAGCTCTGAAGCTCCACACTGGGGAGAAGAGCTGCAGCTGGGAATGTCCCCTGATTTTACGGGGCCTGGGGCTGGCCCCACTGCAAGTTTCCCGAATTAGGGTCACCAGCTACACCAAGATTGAAGGGGCAATCTCTGGCCCAGTGGTTTCCATTATGGCATCGTGGACAAGGTCCAGGTGGTGGCCTCACAGTTGCACGTTTGGGAGGTGCCCTGCAATCCTTACGGAAGTGGCCTGATTTCCCACAATTAAAACATTTGCCCTGATTTTGTCTCTGTATGGCATAGGCCTCGGCAACATTAATGCGTGCCTGATATTTGATAGAACCAACATTCCGACATGCCTTCAAGTACCCCATTATGTCCTCCTTCTCCTTAATGGGACGCAGGATGGATGGCCTGACAATCCTCGTTAGCATTTTCAACAGCCAACTGTTTAGTCAAATGTTCCTGGGTTTCCTTACCCTTAACCTGTCTTTCAATGGCTTCCATCAACCTCCCTATGAAATCTGCATATGGTTCTGTGGCACCCTGAATAATCTTTGCGTAGCTTCCCTTAAATTCAGCATCTGCATCAATCCTCTCCCAGGCCCACAGGGTGGCATCACGGACATGAGCAAAAACAGCATGAGGCAAGGTGACTTGCTTCTTAGGGTCGTGCCATTTCCCTTCACCTATTAACATCTCGTAAGTCAATTTAATCCCTGAAAATTTTCGTCCAGCATGGCCTAGGCTCTGAAGTTTTGCCTTGGCCTCATCACTGAACCACATCCTCCACTGGATGTGCTGAGAAGGGCTTAAGCACATCTTAGCAACCACATGAAAATCTTGAGGTACCCAATGAGCCTTATTACTCCAGCCTGTAAGATACTCCTTGCAGTATGGAGATGTAGGTCCGTACAAGGCACAGGCCTTTTTGAAATTACTGAGTGAATCCATTCTTAACCCTTCATAAGATGGAGACTGATTCTCCTCCAGCTGGATGGGAAAAAAAGACGGAGCTCATGGGGTCTGGGTGGGATTGACCACTTACGGTCGAGAGCTTTCAGCTGTAAGCTTCTATCGGGAGCGTGTCCTGAGCGGCCTGGAGGCCTCTTGGCTTAGCGGCGGCTCCTGTGAGAAGCCTCCTGTACCAAGTGACTCTCAGACTCAAAATCTGAGGAAATGGTAGCTAGCTCATCATATGCATCACTTTCCTCTGACGTACTAGCAGTAGAGTCGTACAGAGGAGGTGGAGGTGGAGGTCTCTCTGGCATGATACCAGTAGGGAAAGTTAATTCATTAGTGACAGAGAGATTTTGGCTCTGAGAACGTGTTTGTACTGGAAACGCCTTGAGCTGCTTTCGGGGCTTGGGTATAGGAGCAGTCAAGCATTGCGCATCAGGCTTCTTTCTAGGCTTGGGCATGGGAGGAGCTGAAGGTATGGCTCTCTCAGTAGTAGGAACGTTCTTAATTTCATCCTTGATCTTAAAATCCTCTCTGTTTAACTCCGGAGGAAAGCCTCCCATAGTATATCTAACATCCTCCTCCTCCGAGGTATCTTCCAAAGCCTTAAGAATGGAGTTAACAATTTCCCAAGTTACCCAGAACTGTTTGGGGATCTGAGCCCCTTCTTTAAATTCCTTGAAGACATTACTCTTAATCTTTTCCCAAACCTTAGGTTCCAAAGTACCTTTATCTGGAAACCAAGGATGATATTTATAAACAGTTTTTAGGCAGGACCGGAGTTGGTCCCGAGAAACACGATGTCCAGTTCTCTTTGCAAAATGCTTAATCAATTCAGTGAAAAACTGGTCACGTTCACTTTGGTGCGAAACATTTTGAAAGGACTTCACTCGACACTGTTTTTGTCCCATGTTAGTGGGGAGTACGGCTAGCAGTTTAATTCACCGCACCACAAAATCTTAGTTCTTTCACCAAACTTTTTAGAGTCGGGGTGTACCGAACGCTATTCTTACCTTTAGTTGTGCACTGCTTGGAGGCTCGCGCCGGCCCAGGGACGCCAGATGTGTAAGCTCACACAAAGTGGGCTCGGCACCCACAGCGGCGGTGGCTCTATCTCTCCCGCCGCCCGCGTTCGGTAGTCTCACCCTTCTCCCACCCCAGAGAGGTTGATGGCGATGGTCAGGCAGAGGAAGGAACGAGGGCCAGGCTGGTAGGTATTAGTCGTAGTTTATTCTGATTCTCTCCTCATCTCTCCTTCTGTCTCTGCTCCCCCCCCCACCCCCGCCCAATCTACCGTCCCTAGGACAGATCCTTCCTCAGCGGGAGGAACCACCCTAGAGCATAATCCCATGGGCGTGCCTCTCCTCTCCTTGTCCGACAAGCATATAAGAATGAGAATATAATATAAATCATTTTGTATTGATACAGTATGAAATATCTTAAACTTATAGAATTGCTCTCCTAGGGCCATCTCGATCTCAGACTACAGTGCTCAGGCCAGATAGTCTTTCCCACCCCTAGCAGGATCCTAGTCTTGTCGTCACCTTTGGATCATGACAGCATTTGTCTATGATCAAACTCTTAACTTATAGTTAAGAATCATGGCACTTTGGCCTGGCCCATTTCGCTACCAGGGTAGCTCACCGCTTGCCCTGGGTCCATTCAGTCCCTCGTCGGGACACTGCTTTTGGGGTGTTAGGAACTAAGGGCAACTGAGGTTTAAGTCGAGAAAGCAGATGCCCGGGAGTGAATAATATTCAAGGCCAATCAAATCCTAAGTTACAAAGCATAATGTTAACGGTCTTTCTGTATCTATACAAAAAGGATATTACTTTAAAGTAAACTGTTCATAAGGCATAAGGAGAGGAAAAAGGCAATATTTCACTTATACATATAAAATCATAGATTTCTGGGAAACTGATCTTACAGATTAACAAAGTCTGATTAAGGGGAAAGCTGATTAACTGGGTGGGAAGGAGAATGTAGGGAAGACTGTTTACATGTTTACATGTAAACACAATGGAAGTGGAAGTGCCTCTGGAGCACTGTGATGGGTGTAACCAGATTGATGGGTGTAACCAGATAAAACCTAAGCTTCTTGTTGAAGGACAAAGCAATGTTACCCAACACAGGACCCCTGATTTGTGATTGCACGAGTCCTTCCTATCCCCTTGTGCACTGCACTCCCCTCCCCTTGTGCTAACACAGGGCAGCTGGGTGTGGGTGTAACAGGACCATGACCCTTGATCTTGGTGATAATAAGCACCCCTGGGGAGCAGGACTCCAGCATGCTCAAAACCCAGAAGTAGGTTTTGAGATTTGTCTACTGAAGAGCTTTGGCCTTGGAATTCAGTGGCTGTCTCTAATCTATTCCCCCCATGTCCTAATTTTGGCACCAGCATTCCTCCTTGGTTGTCCTTTGCTTGGATTGAGTTTAAGTCCCCTCAATCTGTTTATATAACCTTGTCCCGGGTCTGAGACCTGGATGTGCTCGGAGCTGGACACTTCACTGCAGTGATTCAGGTCAGGAGATCAGGACCAGACACAGAAACACCCATGTGAGGACACAGGGAGCCAGTGGCATCCATTCCTCTGACCTCCATCCTGGCATCCATGTGTAGACTGTGTCCTTGCCTGCTCTCTCCAGCCCAGCGGGGTCTTCTCCTGAAGGAAGGTCTTTCGTTGCTTCTCATAGTCTTTGAGAAGTTCTTCCTCATCCCACCCCCAGGAGGGCCAGGCGTCACTGTGGGACCCTCAGATTATTCACCCTGCTCAGCCGGGGAGTGATACCTGAGTGTGGCCTGGGGCTGTAGATAGGAAGCAGCTCTGCTTGGGACTCCCAGGGAGCTGTCTGAACAGTGAACAAGACTTTAATATTGGACCTGAGTAGGTGGAGGCTGACAGGCTATCTGATGCCCTTGCTTGTGGCCATCCTGTCCATGTAGGGCCACTCAGTATTTTCTGTAGCCTTTTGGTCCCTTGAGACTCCACTTTGGTGCCCTGCACCCCCACCAGCACGACACTGTAACAGCACAAAGACAGCAGCTCCCAGATGGGCAAACGAGTTTTATTTTAGAGTTGGGGGTGAGGGCAGACCGGGACCATCTGGCATCAGTGGAATACTTGCTACTCCCTGGCTCAGGGAGGGGCACCCCATACCCCACACAAGTCGTGGGCAACTCAACACCTGAGTACATCACTGAAGGCAGCTGTCAGAGCCTCCTTTGTGTTCTTAAGGCTCAACAGTCAGAGGAAGTCCCCCAGGAGTGCGGCTAGCACTGGGGCCAAGAGCATCATCCCTACCGTGGCGGCCCCAATCCCCTGGCTTGGTGCTGCGTTGCACAGGTCAGTGGTGCAGCAAGAGGTACGCAAGCTGAACTCCAGAAGACCAAAGCGATGCATCAAGCCGGTTGAAATAGGACCAGGATTTTCGCAGGATGGCACACACGTCTTTACCACTTTTGTGTGGCTGCTCTTTGCTTGGTTCTCTACGATAGCTGTCATGGGAAAAGACACAGTGTTGGTGTCCTGAGGGGAGGCTCACCTAACCTGGCCCAGGGTGAACCCTCCTTGGACTCAGTGCCCTGTGATACTCTGTGTCTTTGCCCCCAATGTCAGGAGTGTCTACATCCCCTCAACCTCTACAGCAGTTCTGAGCAGGGTGCTGGCCTTTAGGAACCTGGAGGAGCATCCCTGACCACAGTGGTCACGTAGAATAACTGACACTTAGAATGATGGCTGGCATCTAGTTCACCCACAGAAGCCATTTGTAGGGAAGTTCCCCGGGACCCCTTTTCCATTTCGGTTGCTCATAGAGCAAGGGAAGACCCTGCTTTCCTTGGCAGGAAGTATTGCCTCCCCCCACCCTCCCGGCTTCCTGCCCCACACCCCACCTCTCCAACCTCTTGGCTTCTCCTGGAGCAGGTTACTTACTATGTTTCTGCTGGAAGCAGGCTTTATCCTCGGAGGCACATTGCATTGGGCCAGCACATGTTTCAGAGTCAGCACGGCAAGTGTGACATTTCAAGGCCCAGACTAGAGGGTTGGAGAGAAACACAAAACAGGAGATTCAGGCCCCACCCGACAACCAAGAAGGAGCGTGGACTCAGCACCAGAGTCAGGAGAATTGTGGCTGGAAGCTACTCTGGTGCTAGTGGGTTGGGAGGAGAGAGTTGCAACTGGGAAGGTCCACCACAGCCCCTCTGCATCCCCTTTACCCCCTACTCACCTCCGTCTAGGCATTGAAAGGCCAGCAGCAACAGCAGTGCCACAGTCCTCATCCTGCCCATCAATCAGCCTGGGGGAACACAGAGAGTTTGATTCAGGCCTTAAGTATCTGCCTGCAGGCCCCTCCCTCTCTTCCTGTAACATTTCCCACTGAGAAACTGAAACTTAAGCTTTGAATTTCCCCTGTCCAAAATAGCTTCTTGTCATCTGCCCCATTCTGAACTCATCCAGATTCAGAGGTTTCCAGAAATAGAGATCAGAAGGGAATTGGCAGGTTTTCCTTCAAGTTTTCCACTGGAATTGGGCTAGGGCTGGGACCGAAGCATTGCCCTGCGGGGGTCGCTGAGCCCAGGGCCAACTCCATGTAGGGTCTGCATAGTCTCCTCTCATCCCCACCTCATGTGATTGTGTTGGCAACTCACATTGGTTGAGTGAGATCCCTGATTTCAGGTGACCTTGAAGCAGGATTGTTGGAGTACAAGGATCTTAGGTTTATCAGGTTGCACCCATCACAGTGCCTGCAAGTCATTCCCATTACTTTGTTTTTCTGTAACTACTTCTTTGTGCTCTCTTCCCCAACCAATTTGTAAGGTCCAATCCTTCTAGGACACTGAACTTTTATTGTAAGTTAATATTGCCTTTCTCCTCTCCTTATGTCTTTTGAATAGCTTACTTTAATGCAATGTCCTTTTTGTATAAATACAGGAAGACAATTAATATTATGCTTTGTAACTTAGGATTTAATTGGCTTTGAATATTATTCACTCCCGGGCATCTGCTTTCTCAACTTAAGCCTCAGTTGTCCTCACTTCCTAGCACCCTAAGGGCAGGGTCCCGATGAGGGACTGGATGGAAGAACCAGGGCAAGCCGGTAAGTTATGTGCTACCCTGGCATCGAGATGGACCAGACCAAGGTGCCACGATTCTTAACTATAGGTTAAGAGTTTGATCATAGGCAAATGCTGTCATGATCCAAAAATAACGACGAGACTAGGACCCTGCTAGGAATAGGAAAGACTATCTGGCCTGAGCACTGTAGTTTGAAATTTAGATGGTCCTAGGAGAGCAATTCTATAAGCTTAAAGTATTTCTTACTGTGTCCATCAAAATGATTTATATTATGTATGCTTATATGTTGGTTGTACAAGGGGAGGAGAAACACACCCAGGGAAATCCGTTCTAGTGTGGGTTGATCTGCTAAATGAGAATCTGTCCTAGAAGCAGCTTTCCTGTGTGTCCTGACTAGCTTGGATGAGACTGAACATTTCTCCACTTCAAACTGCCTTCAGTAAATAATTTCAGTACATTGTAAGAGGCAGTTTCCCTTTTCTCTCAGTAATCTCAGATGCTAGCCAGGCCTGATCTTTGGGATGTAGATTCCAAGCTCTAGCAGACTGGTCTTTGGGATGCAAATGCAAGGGCTTGTAGCTTGTGAAAGTGCTTGTGAAAGGTTTCAGTATTGGTTTTGTATCTTCTTTCCTGAGGCCAAAATGACTGGCCTGCAGATGTAAAGAAACAATATATATTTTGCCTCCTCAATGTTCTTTCTGAAACTCCTTTTGATGACCTCACTGTATTGTGCCCTTTAGAGGTACCACGATCTATATAAAGGAGATTCCTCTCTGAGGGAACACATGCCTGAGATAATGGGGAACACAGGCTGAGAGAATCTGGGGAACATATGCTTTAGAGAACCTGGGAAGATGGGACCGAGAGAATGGGGAAAGAAGCTGAGAGAATGTGGGAGCATGTGCTTGAGAGATCTTGGGACCTCCATGATGTACATTTCTTCCACGTAATAAATTGCTAGTAAGACCAACCAGCCTGGCCCTTGTTTCCAGAAAAGGCCTGAGACTATTGAACGAGGGTAGTGGGAGAGATAGGCCGCTGCCATCCATTTGCCCGTCCTTTATGTGTGTTTACACACAGCATCTTCCCCTGTGAGGACAAGAGAAATGCCAAAACATGCTCTTGTCATGCTAAGAAACTAACAGGAAACTAACAGGAAACTGGTAACCCAAAGCTTAAGTTTCAGTTTCCCAGGGGAGGAGGACTGGTACCAATGAAAGTAACACCCCAAAACCACAGGCAAGGGCATCCAACCACAACCTGAAGGAATCCATATTAGCGCATCAAATTTTTGCGTGCTTCAGCTAACTTGCAACATTGCTTTCTGTAAAACTGCTTGGCTGCTTTGCACCTGGGGGAGAGGGGACTTGGAAAGTGAACAGGGTATAACTTCTTTCTAAACCAAGTGTGACAGGATTCAGGTGTATTTACTGTTCCTGAAATGTATTGTCTCAGTAAAGCACCCTGCAGACTTGGGTAAAGGATAACTCAGGATGCAGTGGGTGGGGGAAATTGCCCTTTCCTGGAGTGTATTGTCTCACTATAGCACCCTGCAGACTTGGGTAAAGGATAACTCAAAATGTGGATGGTCAAGGGAGATTACCTAAGGCTTAATGATTCCAGCTATAACCTTGCTTGTGCTGACAATCCATGTACGTAAATGCTTATCTTTGAATCTATAGGCTAAGGAGTGAGGTACTTTTAAATGGATTGGTTAAGAAAGTATATGTTGTTACAAATCTATTGGCTATGAAATGTGCGGGCCTTGCTGTAATGGCCAGTGAAGGCCTATATAAGATCCCCTTTGAAGAAGCTCGGGGCTCTCAGCCACTGCCCACTCTGGGGTATGCTGTGGAGCCCTAGCATGCTGGTCTAAATAAACCCTGTTTTTACTCCTGCAGGAATTGTGTCTGTCTGGTCTCTTTGCGCCTCCCAGGGCCAGGGGACTCCCGATCCCAACATTTGGAGGTTCCACCGAGATATCCGAGGATCCTGCCCCAGGGACGCCGGATTGAGCCGCGGGGTAAGTTAAGGCGCCTCTTTCTCTCTCTTTGCTTCTCTGGTACCGTTTCACTTTGGTACCCGATTGGGTGGCACTGTTGTGTGTGTGTGAGCCTTGTGTCTGACAGACATGTCCGGAATAGACACTGGCCGCAGCCCTGGGGGATGCCCTGGAGGCGGGTGAGGACCAGGGATGCCTGGAGGCCTCTTTTGTGGTATGTGGTAGCCTCGGAGAGGCTACATCTGGTGAGTCAAAGAAGGAATCATCGGCTGCTCTATTACTTCTCTATTCTTCTTTCCTCTCCAAAAGGCCTTGCGCTTGCGTCATTCTTTTTTGTAGGTTGTATCACGCTCGTCCTTTTTCTCTTCCAAGACACCGTCTTTGGAACCATGGGACAATATCCGTCCACTCCTCTCTCACTCACTCTCTCCCACTGGTCAGAGGTCCTTTCTCGTGCTCAGAATCTTTCTCTGATCATTAAAAAAAGCCTAAATGGCAGACCTTTTGCTCTGCAGGATGGCCTACATTCCAGGTTGGTTGCCCCCCTGAGGGATCATTCCACTCACCGCTTATCTTCCAGGTCAAGGGAGTCATCTACCAGTCTGCTCCCCGAGGGCACCCGGACCAGGAGCCTTAGGCGGGAGTCCCGGGTGGGAGAAGGGGCCCCCACTGAGACGACTCTGCTCCTCCTCTGCCCCTGAACCCCAAACTCTCTAATGCCACTCCTGGGCCAGCACTGGCCTTTCCCTACTTCCGATCTCTTCACTTGGAAGAACTAAACCCTCCGAAAGTGAAAAATCATGTGCACGCCCTTTGGGCATATTCGGGAGTCCCAGGGTGACTGGTGACTGTGGTGCGCACCTATGTGAAAGAGTGGACCGGTCTGAGCGAGTGCAGGAGTGTGATCTGTGCGTGTGTCCATAGTGTGTGTATTTATTATCTTTCTCCTAATTCCGTTTATTAAGATTGTTTAATGCAGGTCAGAATTGATCACTTCTCTGAGATCCACAGGAAAGCTCAGGATCTGGGCTTGATGATCAAGAAAACTAAATTTGACACTTTTTGTTCATCAGAATGGCCTTCCTTCGGTGTGGATTGGCCCCCACGAGGTTCCATCTCTCCAAACCTTGTGGCTCAGATAAAGGAGGTAATCTGTGGAAGATCTGCTGTGAAGGTATGCTCCCTTGGAAATCTCTAGGGGGACTGGGGGAGGAATGTGATAACCTCTGTGTGAATGCGTGTGTGTATGAGCACCCTGATAGGTCCTCCTATCGGGCGTGATTTTGTAGCTCCACGACCTGGCACTCTTAAAGTCCCTCTAAAGTCATGGAGCTCGAGTGGGCTGCCTGCGACTCCACGGAGAACATATGGTCAATGGTGGCACTGGCATAGTTGCTGGTCGCAAGTCACAACGCTGAACTTCTAAGGCTAAGTTCTCCACTGGCCAGGCAAGCATCTGAATGGTCTCTGCAAAGAGGCACCCCTCCTTTGTCTGTTTTGTGTCACAGTCCACTATGGGAGGGACGGGAGGAAAGCCCACTAGTGAGAAGACTGGGAAACGAAGGCAGATCAATTTCCAGGCAGAGAGGTCAATTGAAATGTTAAAAAAGGCAGTTCAGATGTAAGGCCGAAAAAAAATAAAGGGTAAACGGAGAGAAGCTGCAAGCCAGCAAAAAGTGGGAAAAGTAGAAAGCTAAGAAAGGCAGAACTGTTTTTTTTTTTAAGGAGCAGAGTTTTTAAGACCACAGCACTAAGTTCGGCTCGGGCACACAGCTGTGGGTCTGCCCAACGCCAGGCCCACCCAGGTGGAGATGAGCCTCTGAATAAAGGCCAATTTAAGGGAGGTTAGAGTTCCCTTAGGAGAGGCCAAAGTGATAGACCTGGAGAAAAGTTTTGCCAAGGAACCATCCTTTGTCATAGATTATTGCTTGCAATTAGGAACGCATCTGAGGAGCTTCCAACTAGGTAGTTTTAGATAAGGAGATCTTATTGACCTCTGTAACACCATGTGGCCTGAGTATAGTGGGGGAAAGATAGCCAGTGAATGGCAGTTTGCATTACCAGATCATTTTGCAGTCAGATCTTTGCAGGTAACAAAAGAAATAGGAGAGTATCAAAGCAGAGGAGGCAGGAAACATCAGAAACAAAGAAGCCTATCCCCATGTCTGATAAGAAGATACTAGCTCCCTGCCTCAGAATTAGCCTTGGCGAAAATATGGTAACATCTTTGTCATAGTTTATTTTGCCGGCTTATATCAACAAAAG